GAGACAGTCTGGGTACGCGAGCGACCCGGGAAGACGGGTGTAGATACACGGAAGCCAGTTGCATTCTGTTTGTTATGAGTTATTGACTGTGAATCTTACCGCGCTGAGTGAGCGCCGTGGTGTGTACAGTGCGGGAAGGAATTTAAATAAAGCTCGCGTCCCAGCAAGCCGACCCTGTCTTCTTCCTTCTACCCTCTTGAACATTTGTTACACCAGGTAACAACAGTCAGTTAAGATTTAAGGGTATGTACATTTTAATTGTAAACTAAGTTTTACCTTTTCCGTTACTCCCCAACCCTGCATGTAGTAGTTGTGGCTGTATAAACAGCAGCAGTGGTTGTTGTGGTTCTGGTGTTGTTAGTGGTCACAGGATTAAGGCCAGTGGTACCAGACCAAAGTGGTGATCTGAAACACAGTACAAGAATTTGAGGCTTAAATGTGGGCGAGACGCTGCAAAAAAAAAAAAAAAAAAGGATTTTTAAACTGTTCTTTGCAACCCTATCGACGAGCACCTTTATGGCCGCTGATGAATTATTATGTTTTCCATGACAGCCAGGTTTACCAGACATCAACAGCGCAGTTACATCACATAAAACTGAGTCACTGGATAAGTTTAGTGCTGGAATGATGTCTTTATTTTAACTACGAATTCTCCATAATCTCAGTAATTCCTTCATTTTAGTTTCACGCTCTCCTTACCTCTGATCCTTTGATTTGGGGTAGTTGAGATAATGAATGCTACCCAGAAAATGCCTGCTTTGTCCTCCACTTATCCACTCAGTCGAGTGCTTACATCTTGGCCTGGATATGCAGACAGTATGTGGAGCTGGGCTCCTCTTTGCCACTATCTTCTGGCACGGACTCGCTCGTGACTGAATGTGAGCCATCGGAGCCTCTACTTTGCTGCACATAAGCTGATTTTTGGAGCCTCGGGCTGGTCCTGCGGTTGGCAAAAGAAAGCCATTAATATCAACTTTGGTCTCAACGTAAAGTGAAAAATGTTGTATGTCTATGTATGCAAAAACCTGATGGAATGAAAAGACTCACCACAAAAGGATTACACTTGGCCTAACATCCTTAAATGCCATTCATGCAAAAACATTTTGACAGCAAAAACCAAATTCCACAAGGATTTGGTTTCTACTCCTCTCCATTGTCACTCCCAGGTTTTTAAACACTCTTTCATTACCCTGTAGTTGAGCCTCTGGAGAGCGGTGGAAGAAGCCACAGAGCTCGCAAAAGTTTGTTGAGAGCAAAACTAGAGCAAAACTTAATCCTATCCTGATATGAAACAATGTGTGTAGCCTATCTATGGCTTTTCTAAACCTTGTTGTCAATAGAAATGATCTAATTTCAAAAGTTACTAGTGCTGTTCCGTGAAACGCCTATCTACTGCCTACATAGACAGCTACCTTCTAAGGCAGCATTTTAACCATCATGTAACTTCATAAGTGAGTGACTTTAAACTTTCTATACAGAGTTAGAAATTAGCATGTTGACACAATAAAAAAAAGGCACACGCAAATATTGAGTACTTAAAATATTTGGATCTTTTGGCCAATTTACTGTTAAATAACTATTTTTAATCCATACTTTTCAAAAAATTCTAACATTTCTCTCACTTTTTTGGATTTAATTTTTCACTGAGGTCATCACATTGCATTATGGGATTGCTTTGAAGTGAACATTGTTTAGATGAAAAGAGTCTCATATGTACTCTCTCTGTCATGAAAACAAGACACATTTCCGATTGAAGAAAGAAAGAAAAAAACTGCACAACACTGTAAATGCTCAAAATATCTAATTGGTTTGGGTAGGGTAAACTGAAACAAATTTGTTTAAAAAAATGCACTCTTATAAATATTTAGAACTTTCTTTTTCTTTTGGGTTCATGAAACTGGCACATTTTAAGTAATCTGAACTGTTTCATTGTTTTGAGTTTAATGAACTTGTTTCTCTTCATTTAGAGGCACTTAAATTGAACTGAAACTGGGCTGGGGATATCTGTTTCCCAGCATGCTTTGCCATGCATTGTAGAGTAAGTATGGCTTAATGAAAAGGAATCCTTCAAAGTAATACATTTTTAAGAATCAATTAAACTTGTCCTGAATGAAGCATTAAAAACTAACTTGCGAATAGAATTGAGAATTGACTTGTGACAAAGAAGACTCAGATCATTGCTGCCTTGTGCCTTAAAATACTGCCTCTATAGGTGACTCACTAAGTTTTGGAACAGAACTAGTGTGTTTATGGAGATAAATGTGATTCCTCAAAGGTTTGACAGGTTATGGCAGAGCAACACCCAGAATTTATGTGATCGGTTAGTGTCTCCTCAATCACCTGAACTCACATCATTAGAAAGCTATAAATACCTGCTCCAGACCAATGTGCAAAAACACACGTCTTTGGTGATGAGACGGTTAAATCAGGATTTATTGACCATTCAGCTGGGAGTTTATGCATAGAGTTTATTTTTACTTGTTTTCATTTTGCCAATCTCAATAAAATCCAGTTCTCTCCTCGAAATGAAATTAAATCCTAACTCAACACTTAAAAGGTGGCCTAAAGTCAGGCGTTCTTCTTTTAATGCAGTTATGGCTTTGTGGTGAAGGCGCTTAGAACAGCAGGAGTTCCTCAAACAACAGATGGAGGAAGACATGGCATGGAGAAGATGATGCAGGGTGTCACGGTCTGGCACCAGAGACTGGAGACCAACAATCAGCAGCTGTGACACGCACAAAACTTCAATGACCCAGAGATGTAAGCGTGACTAAAAATACCGTGAGGAAAAAATAACTATTAATAACTCAGCTGTGAGAGGAAGGAGTGAATTACTGCAACAATGAGCCACGAGACACACGCATGCACTTGGACCTTGAAGCGACTGGGGTACAAAAATTGGTACCAGCTGTCAAGCCTGCAAAGATGTTGCTGTGGAAAGGCAAAAGTGTCCAAATGTGAGGAATTAATCATTTACTCATCAAATCTGGCCACTTAAGAAACCTCAGGCACTCCATGTATTTGCTTCCATGGTTCTGGCTCTTCTCTTTCTGCATCAACTTTGCAGTCCAGATTTGCATGGGAACGCCGAGTACAGCGGGAGACGTGAGAGCCGTACCACCTACATTCCAGGTGGTTTCGCAGCAAGTGGCACAAGCCGCTTAACACCGTTTAACCCACATCTGCACCTAGAGGATGACACCTGTTGTTCCTACAATAGGGTTCAGTGAACAAAATGTTGAATTTTAGGGTGTTCTGAACAATCATTTAAAAATGGGGCTACCACATACCTGATTTTTTTTTAATTAAAGTATGTTTATTCAGCAAGGTCATTAAATTGATCAAACATGTTAGTAAAGGCATGCATAATGTTACAACAGATTTCTATTTAAAATAAATGCTGCTCTTTTCTTCTGCAAAGAATCCTGAAAAAAGTCAGTTTCCACAAAAACATTAAGGTGCATAACAGTTTTCAATATTGATAATAATAATAATAATAATAAATGTTTCTTGAGCAGTAAATCAGCATATTAGAATGATTTCTGAAGGATCATGTGACACTGAAGACTGCTGAAAATCACAGGAATAAATTACATTTTAAAATTGATTCAAAACAGAACATATATAATAATAATAGAAAATATTTTTGAGCAAATAAATGCAGCCCCTGTGAGCATAACAGACTTTACAATAATGTTAACATTAGATAACTGCATTAGTTAACATGAACTAACAATGAAAAATACGTCTAAAGCATTTTATTATTAATGTTCATTTCAGTATTTACTAATGCATTATTCAAATCAAAAGTTGTATCTGTTAATATTATTTAATAGACCTGAGTTAACATGAACAATGAACAGTTGTATTTTTATTAACTAACAGTAACAAAGATTAATAAATACAGCAACAAATGTCTTGCTCATTGTTAGTTAATGCATTAACTAATGTTAACTAATGGGATCTTATTGCAAAGTGTTACCCAGACATGTTTCAAAAACATCACAAAATAAAAAATGAATAAATGTTACCGACCACATTTTTTTGAACAGTTATGTAAATGAATAATAATAATAATATTAATAAAATACCTCAGTAACTATATATTCCACCAAAATCTATGGTTTAAGCTATATGGTTTACCAAACTAGATTTCAGTGAAACTATACTTAACATAGATTTTTGTAAAGGCCCAGATTTCTGGAGGATAGGCTGACCTAAAAAAACATACATTGTGCACATTTTCCAGACTCATTATACCCAGTGAAAATAATTAAACCTAAAATTGCATACAAAGAAAAAAGTTGGAAGTGTCACTACGTGCATTGCTAGACTGAATGTTTTTCTTTATATTTCGAAATATAATGACTCACTGTGACTCAATGGATTCCTGTCCCAAGTGTCAAGCTCTACGAATGACTCTCCTGAGAATTCTCCTGTGTCATTTGCAGCGTTGACCAATGCCTTTCTTTTCACTGCCTTTGGCTTGGCTGACTTTTCATATCAAAATACCTTACTCACTGGGATGGCATGAATAAGTGCTAAAGGCTAATTTTACATTAATGACTATGCAGTATATCATACATAAGTCATTCTGAGTTGGCCTATTTGGACCAGAGAGGAGTAGCTACGTTTGGCGAACTCCTGTATGCATAAGAACCTGGCAGCCAGTGCACGTATATCTAGTGACTTACTCCCAAGCATTCCTGGAAAAGCAGGCCTGGTTTCGAAGAAGGTGTCACACGTCTTTATTTAACACAGTGAAAGGTGTCATGATCTCAACGCTAACTTTGGTGAATCAGTGCTTTCGCTGAGAAAAAAATAAAATAAAAACTCTTGCACGCATACAAACAAACTCACCGTAGAATCTGTTAGCCTTTGGTTTATGGGTCTAGAGCCTCTCTGCAGCCTGAGAGGACTCTGTTGACACGATTTTTATAAGTCAATAAAATATCATTCAGAATCACTGGGCTCTTGTATAACTTGAAAAGCCACATCTGTGGAGCGTTGATCTCTTGTATGAGACTGTGGGGAATAGGTTCAAATACGGGCTGCATAGACCCCTGTAACTTACATCTGAGAAGTCTGCCCTTTCTAATTAAACCCTCCGTTCAAACACAGCTGAGGTCTGAGAGTAGCCATGCTTATCCT